ATTTGCCCTACATCTAGCAACAGCATACTGCTTGGATAGCTTTAGAGACTGATCAACTATTACACCAAGATTCCTTTCTTTCATGACACTGTTAAGGTTATTTCCATCCAAATTATACTTATAATTCAAATTATAATAACCCACATGCATTATCTTGCATTTATTACAATTAAAACCCATCTGCCATTTATTTGTCCAACTCGCTAAATGATCTAAATCCTTTTGTAAATCAGCAGCATCCTCTTCACAGCGAGCAACACCCAAGACCTTAATATCATTTGCAAATTTAAGTACTTTATTGATCATTCCTTCATCTATGTCATTGATATAAATGAAAAAGAACAAAGGTCCTAAGACTGAGCCCTGAGGTACCCACTTGTGACTTAATCCAGTTTGACTGAACTCCATTTGTAACAACCATCTGCTTTCTTCCACCAAGCCACTCTTCTATCCAATTTGCTAACTTATCCCCCACACCTATAGAGATAATTTTTTACAAGCCTTTTATGTGGCACCTTCTCAAATGCTTTCCAAAAATCCAAATACACCAAATTTACATAAACAGTAACCTTTTCAAATAACGTCAAAAGATTTGTAAGGCAAGATTTTCCTTGCAAGATTTTCCCTTAGTGACACCATGTTGACTATCAATAAAATTATTTGCAAAGCATCTTTTAACAGACTTATCAACACTTTTCCCACAAGTTTTGTAAGACTAAAAATGCTAAAAATGAACATACATTAATTAAGTAGCTGGACATTATCAGAATTTTTACTATGGAAAAAAAATACATTGGGGCAAGTACTGTAGCAAGCTGTATCATGATGCAAGTAAAGTGTATTAAACAGAAGTAATAAATGAAATCTTGAGAAATGCACTGACTTCTATGTTTTTTTCTCTTTTTTTTTGTAATATATCCAAGTACTTTAAGTGTGTACTATATTATTTTAATTTAACAAGTGAAATATACTTTAAAAAAAAATGCTACAGTCAGTATAACTTGGAATGCCAACAGTCCTACTTTTGGTAGGACAGTCCTACTTAGAGATAAAATGTGTTAATGTTTTGCTTCCAACTGTTGTCAATGTGTTCATTTACATTAGGGGCTGTCCATGTGACCAAGTGTGACAAGGAGGAGTCAAAAATTGGTCTAAATCATGTGATGACCTTTATGGATAGTACCTTATCAAAAAGTCCAAATTCAAAATTTTCAACAGTTTGCAACCCTAGTATAATGCACTTCAAAGTTGTGTATGATATAACCAGAAATAACAATTAAGAGGACAGGAGTGAAGAGGCAGGGTAAAGGTTTAATATATGAATGTTACAGTATTTTTTAGTTAGTTAAACAAATTTCAAGCACTGTAGCTACTGGTCGAGTTGTAGGCCTCTATGAACATGTATAGTAGTGTAACGTGAAGTTGCACAAATCCCTTAAATGTAGTGGTACCATGCAAGAATGAGTTTTCTTTTGTTTTTCAAATAGCTCAGATGTGATTGCAAGGTAATCAGGATTTAAGGAGAATGGAGTAATAGGTTACATTTAAATTACTCTAAGTTTGAAAAATAGTATCAGATAGTAGTTGATGACATACTGGTTTTCATCTGCAA